CTAATCATATGCACAGCAGGGGAAAAAGGATGTGCTAAAACAATTTCTGTATCAGGAACAAAGACAGAGAATATTTCAGCTCAGAAATCACACTAGGAAAACCATCAGTTGGAAGTCAAGTAATAAGGCCACATTTCTGAATTTTTTAATGGAGCCTTGAGTAACAAGTAATAGTTTAATTACATTAATCAAGTCAGCTTCCACATGGGCAAGAAGGATGATTCAGAAGTGGCATGCCAAATTTTGCAAAGCAGATGTAATAGAATATATTTAGATATTATTAAAAGAAAAAGCTAAAGGTTTGGTTGGGTTTTTTTAAAAAATAACCATCATTGCTTCCAGGAGGGATTTAAAGAATCAGATATAACTTCGTACTTTCACAAAAAGTATGAAAATCGTCATTACCAGCACCACCACCACCACTACCATCATCAGAGTTTTTCCTGGACTTTACAATTTGTAAAATGCTTCACGTACATCATCTCATCTGATGCTCGTGACAAGCCTCTGAAATAGATAGCATAACAATGCAACCAGTATGAAAAATAAATGGCTGCATATATTCAAATTCACAAACTTGAATCAAAGTTATAATAATGTAACATATGGTCATTGGTTCCAGCCCAGTGGACATAATGGAGTGAGAATTTAAGAGGTGTATTGAATTAGTGTAAGACATGGGCTCTGCCCTCAAGGAGGACCGTTACAAAATGTGAAAATCCATGCAACCTGCAATAGTGGAGAAAGGCTTTATGGAAAAGATAGCCTTGGAACTGCCCCTAGAAGGGTGGGTTGGTCTATATAGAAGAAAGTGAGATGAAAGGTAGCTGGCCGTTATCCTTCTTTCTTGAAGAGGACAAAAATGACGGCACCATATTGGGCTCAAGGCACTGTGTGGCCAACTATGGCTGATCAGGCCAATAACAAGCTTGGAAGGTGCTACCACAGGTCAGGCACAAATAGTCGATACAAACATTCGGAGTGGAGATGTCTCTAAATTTGCACATTTCACACTTCTTTTGAGCTATTGCAATTCTGCCTTGCTCACAGAGCACAGTGCCTTCTTTGATGAAAGGCAGAGTAATTGGATGTCAGAGCTGGAAGGGTCCTTAGGGTTCACCTAGTCCAATGCCCTTATTTTTTAATAGTAACTGACTTTTCTGAGCCCCTTACAGATAATCTCAGGTGAGCCCCTCAACAGCCCAGATAGGTGCTCCAGGTGCTATCTCCATTCTTTACAGATAGGGAAACTGAGGCCCAAAGAGATGAAGTGACTTGCCCAAGATCACATACTTCGTGAGTGTGGTCAGATTTGAATCCAGGTCTTCCTGGCTCTAAGTCTACCGCTCTATCTACCACACCATGAAAACCAAGCCCCAAAAGAAGGGAAGTAATTTACCTATGGTCTTACAGGTGGCAGAGACTTGGATTCTAGCCTCCTAACCCTCAGAAACCTCATACCCCCCTCCTTGTCCTTGTCCTCCTCTTCCTCTCCTTCCTTATAGCTTTTTTTTCTCATCCATTTCTACTGATTTCCTTATTCAGATTCAGAACAGCCTATATTTAGTGATCTCATTGTAGTCTCAGAGTATAGACATTGCACAGTGTGGACCTCCAGGCATTTAAAAATTATCCTGACCAGGTCCTTTACACATTGCTTAAATTTTAACGAGCAGAACATTTCTTTAATCATTGTCATTAAGCAGGCCACAGGCAAGCTACCTCAATCTCATATTTCATAAATGGCTCCAGCAGCAGCTGTCCGACTCCAAGAGGATTCGAGGGAAAAAAGGGCTTGTCTCAAAGCTGAGATGATCATTGGGCAGCCGGTCCCCCATCCTTCCTGGATGCCTGACCCTGACGGTGCCGCCAGCTGTGGAACAGCTGGAATTGCCCACGTCCCTCTGAGGATGAGTCACCGTTCCTTTCATATCCTTCTTCAATCTTCCTTTAGTTGGTGTTACTTCATTTTTATTTGGTTTTTAACTGCTTTCTATCTACAAACATTTCTTAATACCCATCCACCTTCATGAGCCACCCACCCCCTTATTTATTTTTTATTAATTTATTTTGATTTTTCAACAATCGCTTCCATAAGCTTTTGACTTTTAAATTTTTCTCTCTCTCCCTCCCCGCCTCCCTCCCCAAGACGGCTCGCAATCTTATACAGGCTATACATTTACATTCCTATTAAACATATTTTCAAATTAGTGATGTTATAAGGAAGAATTAAAACCAATAGGTTCTAATCAGAAAGGGGAAACAAAACAAAACCGAAAAAAAACAGCAAATAGTATGCTTCGTTCTGCATTCAAACTCCATAGTTCTTTCTTTGGATGTGGATAGCATTTTCCATCACGAGACCTTTGGAGATGTCTTGGATCCTTGCAGTGCTGAGAAGGATTAAGTCTATCAACGTCAGTCATTGCACAATGTGACTGTTACTGTGTACAATGTTCTCCTGGTTCTACTTCAGTTAACGTAAGTCCACACAAGTCTTTCCAGATTTTTCTGAAGTCCTCCTGCTCATCATTTCTTAAAGCACAACAATATTCCATTACATTCATATACCACAACTTGCTCAGCCATTCCCCAATTGATGAGCATCCCTTCAATTTCCAATTCTTTGCCACCACAAAAAGAGCTGCTATAAATATTTTGTACATGTGGGTCCTTTTCCCATCTGTATGATCTCTTTGCCCCTAGAAGTGCTATTGCTGACTCAAAGGGTATGCACATTTTTATAGTCCCTTGGGCATAGTTCCAAATTGCCCTCCAAAATGGTTGGATCATTTCACAACTCCACCAACAATGCATTAGTGTTCCAATTTTCCCACATCTTCTCTAACATTTATCATTTTCCTGTTTCGTCATGTTGGCCAATCTGATAGATGTGATGCGGTACCTCAGAGTTGTTTTGATTTGCATTTCTCTAATCAATAGTGATTTAGAGCATTTTTTCACATGACTATAGTTGGCTTTAATTTCTTCATCTGAGAACTGCCTGTTCATATCCTTTGACCATTTCTCAACTGGGGAATAACATATTCTTATAAATTTGACTTAATTCTCTCTATATTTTAGAAATGAGGCCCTTATCAGAGATACTGGTTGTAAAAATTATTTCTCAATTTTCTACTTACTTTCTAATCTTGGTTGCTTTGGCTTTGTGCAAAAACTTTTCAATTTAATGTAATCAAAATTATCTATTTTGCATTTCATAATGTTCTCTATCTCCTGTTTGGTCATGAATTCTTCTGTTCTCCATAAATCTGATAAGTAAACTATTCTTTGCTCTCCCAATTTGCTTATGTATCAGCCTTTCTATCTAAACCATGAACTCATTTTGACTTTATTTTGGTATATCATGTGAGATGTTGGTCTATACCCAGTTTCTGTCATACTCGTTTCCAGTTTTCCCAACAGTTTTTTCTCAAATAGTGAGTCCCTATCCAAGACGCTGGGATCTTTGGGTTTATCAAACAGTACATTACTATAGTCATTGACTACTGTGTCTTGCATACTTAACCTATTCCCCACCCCCTTATTTCAAGGGAAAACGGTGTATATAACACTAAGCACCCATGGTTCCCCACCTCTCTCTCAAGAAAAGATGGAGATTATATTTTATCATATGACATCAAGAAGTGATAGTGACTAAAGGTCATTGCCTTTAATCTGAGGTCAGCTGCCTGTAAGTGTTATTTTCTTTTTGATTATTTTAACAATGGTTGGCATTTACATAATACTTTCTACTTTACAAAGTACTTGTTAGCATTTACATAAGGCTTTATCATTTATAAAGTACGTGACATGTTATCTCATTTGATCCTTACAACAAACCTCTGGAGCATTAATGCCATTTTATAGATAAGAAAAGTGAAGCAGGCAGCAGTTAAGTGACATGCCCAGGTCACAGAGCTAATAAGAGTCTGAGGCAAGATTTGAACTCAGGTCTTCCTGACCCATCATCCCGTGTTCATATTCTATTCTCTGCACCAGAAAATTGGTACCTAACTGGCACCATGTAACTAGCTCTCCCATATTTCTTTCTTTACATCGCCATAATGTATCAACCCATGGCTTCCCAAGTTGCCCTGAATTCCTCATACTTCTTTCTTAGAGCACCATAGCATCCCGTCACCTTCCTGTACCAGGATTTGTTCAGCTGCTCCTCAGTCAACGAGCACCCCCTTTCTTTCCCATTTTGGGCTTCCATCAATAGTGCCCACACTTCTCTCTCCCTCCATATCAACAGTCTGTTTGTGCCTCTTTTGAAAAAAAACTGTAAGGAACCAAGTAATCCCCATCAGATCACAGCATCTAAGGCTCAAAACATCAATATTATGTAAAAACCTCCCAAGCTGGGGTGTGAGCCTAGACGCCCCTCAACCTCCATCTGCAGAATTGTCTCCTGCAGTCCCCACTCTTAGGCAGAGAAGACAGCTGCTCCCTCCTTTCAGGTTAGACCAGATGAGGCTTTTGTGCTGCAGTCTGTGTCTGTGTACGTTGTATAGTCTACATATATATGTGACAGGTGTTTGTGTATATTTGTACCAGCATGTTTATGTATACTGCATTATGCATGCGTAACACGTGGGGATGGGTATTGAGTACATGTGTGCATGCATGTGTATTATGGGCATGTTATTGGTGTGTACATTGCATTGTCTGAGCAAATGCATTGTGTTGCATTGTATATGTGTGTTGTGTTCACACATCTGTGTGTTTGTATGGATGTATATGTGTGTGGATGTGTCAGCATAATCAGGGCTATTGGCCGGGTACATTGAGAGGAAAGGCATCATATAAATGTCAGTGGTTATTAATATTTGGCCTTTTTATATTTAGCCATCAAGGGCGCTTTCCATAATCGGCGACTAAAGGTCTATTTCTGTCCCTCGAACTGTAAACATTTTCAGTAAAAATAACCATTGACCAGGAACAGTATTTTTACTGTTCATAATTTCTGATAAACATTATCTTATCTTTGCTTTCAGCTTTTTAGGGAGCCCTGTTCGCCCCAGCAGGCTGGCCGGCCTTTCCTAGGCAAGCAGGGCTCTCCCTAGGTGGCTGGCTCCATGCCAGGGTGAGTGGCCACCACCAGGTACCTGCCCATGTAAGCGACCTTGTGGATTTTGCACCTGTACCTGCTCCCAAACTGGATGTACTTACTAAGTGCAATAGAATAAGCCAGAGTACACGAGTGTGTTTGCACATGCTCACACAAAAACCTCAGAAAACAATAGCATCTCCACTAATGGGTTTTTTTTAAGTTCTTATTTAGAACAGGAGTCAGCTCCTCTTACTTGGTGGTAAATTGAAACGTGAATACTCATGAGTGGATGAGAGGGGAAAGATCAAGTTACTCCTGAGCTGGGGTTGGGGGACCAGAGTTCAAATCTGAGTTTCCATTACAAATTAAAATCATTTTTCTGATCTTTTTCCAGATACCTCTACCTATTAATGCATAAGGGAATATATATTATCCCAACTTGCTATGCCTTGGCACCAGGCTTAGAAAAACTATACCAAAATGGTACCATTGGGAGGCATTCTGGTGTTATGGAAAGGGCATGGGATTTGGAGGTAGAGGACCAAGGTTGTAACTGTGGTTCTGGCACTTACAACCTATGAGACCTTGGATAAATCACTTAACTTCTCCTCCTTGGACTAGATAACCTCTAAGGTCCCTTCCAGCTCTACATCTGGGATCCCATGTTCATTTCAGCTCTCTAGGCCCTGACTCCTTCTGTTGGAGGAGGAAACTAGATCAGATGACCTCTGAAGCCCCTTCCAGCTCTGAACCTATGTGCTGAGAATCCTGTTCTGTGCTGGATCAGGAGAGAGGCCACATCATCGCTACCCACATGTCCCTTGGCTCAGTTGGGAATAGTCTTTTATTTTGACTCAATGTCACCTTGGTTTTAATATTTAAAATTCTCCTTATTGTATGAGGGTCATCTTTAAAAAAAAAACAAGTCAGCACTGTAGGGGGGTCAGTTTATAGAATTCTTTTGCTAGAACCTACTCAGTTCTAGATTTTTCATCACTCAATGATGAATCAATATGTGTACGTTCCTTCATGGACTAGGCCTGGTGGAGAAACCACGGATCTTAGTTTTGTTTTGTTTTGTTTCATTTGTTTTTGTTTTGTTTTTCGTTTTTGTTTTTTACTGGGGACATCAAAAGCTCATTGCTCTTCAAACAGACATGCTCGTGTGTCCCAAGTATCCCCCATCCATCATGGCAGAGGCAAGATCTGCAGATTATGCCTTCCCGATGTCAGGCCTGTGAATTAAAGCTTTGTTGCAACTCAGCATTCTTTACAATTATTCCCACCGTTCCCAGACTATAAATCATGGCTTCTGGGCAGACAATCAGTGGTTTCCATCTACTGTTTGAAGGCACCCATGTTTGGTCTTAATTGTGCTGTCCAGTCCTGCACCCAGGACAGTGGGACATGACCAGTCCGGATAGCCTGGGAAATAAATTTCACTGTCACAGGCAGGGCCTATTTAAGGCCTATTCTATAAACCCTCTGTCTACATAGCTCTTGGGTATTTATGTTTGAATAATAGGAAGTGAATTTAAATAGAAACACTTCTCAAGCCTTATCTCTGCAAACAAAAACCATAATTTATAATAAATTAACACAGCAGTTGTGAGCTTGCCATGCTTTTACTTTGCAACCCTCACACCTCAGCTTGCAGGATGACACTTTTTTTCTGATAAGGTAATCTTTATAAGGTGGTTGTGCAGGTGATTAGATCTGACAGATGCTCACGCGCCGGGGAGAGGTTCACAGATAGAACAAGCACACCTAAAGGATTCCAGGGGGAAAAAGAAGGAAATCACATTCAGGGGACTAGTGGAAAAGGGATCTGATGAAACAATGAATTGATTCCAGGAATTCATTTCTGGGTCTCCAACAGAACTCACATTATTTACCCCAAACTAAATCAATCAGGCAGAAGAAAAACTACTCGAGAAAAAATCTGACCTTTGGAGGAGATGGGGAGAGGGGGTTGAGATGCATTAGTATTATCTTTTTTGGTGCTGCTTTTCTGACTATTCCCTAGTATTTCTGATTTCTGTCATAGACACCACCATCCTCCCAGTCACCCAGATTTCCAGCCTTATAGTCCTCTTTGCTTCTTCCCGTCCCTCAACTCCTAAAACACAATGGAGAGAATACTGAGTTTAGAGTCAGTGGATGAGCTCCTGACTCTGCCCTCTTCCGTGTAGATGATCCTGACTCACTTAACCTCCTTGGGCTTCAGTTTCCTCATCTGTAAAATGGGGAGAGGATATATGAGATGGTTCTAAGGTCCTTTTTAGCTCAAAAATGATGATCCTATGATCTCATATCCATTTAATTGCTCATTCTCAATCAATACTTGAAGGAATTAATTCATGCTATTCACTGGAAGTCAAGTACCAAAAACGAAGCTTCAGTCCTTTGGCCACATAATAAGAAGACAGGACTCATTGGAAAAGACCCTGATGATGGGAAAGATTGAAGGTAAAAGGGGAAGGGGATGGCAGAGGATGACATGGTATCAGGGAAGCAACAAAGATGAGCTTGGACAGACTTGGGAGATAGTGGAGGACAGAAGGGCCTGGTGTGACCATGGGGTCATGAAGAGTCGGACAGGACCAAATAACTAAACAGCACCACCACCACCAACAAACATTACTTCTACCCCACAACATCTCCTGAATCAGTCCCCTATATTTACAAGACGACCTCCCTAATATGATTTCTTACTACTTCTGGCCTAGACTACTGAAGTAGCTTCCTAGCCCTTCTCCTGGCCTTCAGTCTCTCCTCTATGACATCTAGGTATCTACCTCTGCCATCCTCTTAAGACTTGCCCTACTACTGAGCTCTCTGGATCATTAGAACTCCAGAGCCCCGTGCAGTGGAGGCTTCCTCCATCAACCTTGGAGCTCCTGCTCTGGGGTGGAGTTGTCCTGCTTGGTGAAGAAGGGAGTCCAGCCAGGCCCACAGCCTCACCTAGAGATGCCTGAAGGCTCTGTGCAGCCCACAATGCCTGAACAAGATGAAAATGGAGCTCCTATCTGATTTTTATGAGTCCATGTATTCATGAAAAAGAAGCATCTAAAGATGTGTGGTTTTCTAGGTCAGTATGTGGCCTGCAGGTATCTTTATGTACATTTAGAGGCCCCTGTTTCTCTCTGAGTTTGACATCACTGCCCTAGGCTCTGCCTTCTAGCTCATCCTGCCAGACTCAAACAAAGGGAGCAGATGTTCCACTTGTCTCCCTCTGAACAGCCCGTTTCCTACCTTCCCCCCTGCCCTGGGACCTTTCATCAAACCAATGTCACCGTCGCTTCTGGAAAGGGCCCATCATCCACCAATCCTGCAGGGTGACTTCCCAAACCAAGCCTCCCTTCCCTGCCCAGCCTCCCCCACCGTGGGTGTTGTCTTCTATACCTGGAGGATGGAGACCACTTTCGTTCAGTCCTTGCATCTCCCAGGACTAACAGAATTCCCAACACATAGTTTATAAACGCCTGTTGGATTTCATTGAATTAAATGGTGTATCCCTCCAGCAGAATGTGACTTCCTTGAGGTCAGGAATTGATGTTTTTGTCTTTGTATACCCGGCATGTAGCACCCAGGAGGTATTTAATAAACGCCTGCTGAATTGAATAGGATTTGCCATTATTATGAGCAAAACAGGAACAAAGAGTTAGGGACAAAGACCAGAGAATCAAAATGTTTTGCAAAGACACATTATCTATGGTTATTATCAAAGACTGCACTCACCTCCTTCATTCGGAAGGGAAACCTGGATGATCTTCAAAGACATTCATGGAGCAGCTTGGTGGTGAAAGTGAATAGAGCTCCTGAACTAGAGTCAGGGAGACCGGAGTTCAAATCCTGTATCAGATACTTACTAGTTGTGTGACCCTGGGCAAGTCACTTAACCTTCTCTGTCTGTCTCAGTTTCCTCAACTATAAAACAGGAACGATAATAGCACCTACTTCCCAGGATTTTGTGAGGATCAAACGAGATGATCATTCTAAAGCACTATGTAAATGTTAGCTGTTATTATTACTATTATCTTAATGACGTTTTGAGCAGACAGCCTCTATATACATATTTACTCATGTAAATTGTATATGTAATGCCGTATGAATAATTGTGTACATCATGTCAACTACATGAAAACAAAAATGATCAAAGGAGTTCATCCATATTAAATAATATTTGATCCTAGAATCCATAGGGAGTCACTGGAGTTTACCGAGCAGAGGTGTGATGTGATCGGGTCTGCACTTTGGTGGCTGAGAGTTCGATGAATTGGAGTAGGGAGAGATCGGAGAAGGGAATACCAATTAGGGAGCGATTGCCACAGTCCAGAGGAGACACAAGGAGGCCCTGAGTTGGTCTGAGTAGAAAGATGTCATGGAGATAAAAATGGCAAGAGTTGGGCGTTGATTGGGTGTTGGGATGAGGGAGAATGCAGAATCAAACTTGACATGGAGACTGCAAACCAGGTGGCTGGAAGGATTGCAATGCCTTCAGCAAAAATAAGGAAGTCTGGAAGAGGGGCGGGGTTGGGAGCTGAGAGGAAGATGGCAGCCCATCCTTGGCTGCTCATCGTGGGCCAGTGACTCTATCCCAACCAAGCCCAAGGAGGGGAGGCTTGCCCCGGAGCATAGAGCCTTCCCTCTGAAGAGGCACTGCTCCAACCACTAACTGATATGGAGCACAAGACGCTGAGAGAGAGGAGGAGGATTTCCCAACCTATGTGGCTACTGCTGGGGGTGTAGTCATCAGTCAGGGCATACTGCCTTGAGGAGCCAGCTTGAATCAGAGGAAGAAAGACTGCAACCTTACTCATCAGAGGGAGGGGGGAGAGTAGGAGAATTTGGCAGGGATTGGCGATTGGGGGAGCTGTTTTGGAGACAAGACCCATTGGCTATTGGCTATTGCAGGGAAGTCAGGATGTAACCCTTCTTCCAACCCTCCAGTTGGTTGATTTTGCACCCCACCCCCCAAAGTGAGGCCACAACTCACTTAAATTAGGCTGTGTCCCTCACTTTGCAGATCAGTCCTTTAGACCTCAGTTTACTTATTGGTAAAAAGGAGACAGCAATATTTATTTAGACATTTTTTATCATAGAGTTGTTGTAAGGAAAGTTTTCTCCTTACCCCACCAGGTGATCTTCTTGAGGACAATATTTATTTAGACATTTTTCATCATAGAGTTGTTGTAAGGAAAGTTCTCTCCTTACCCCACTAGGGCATCTTCTTGAGGACAGGACCGTTTGGTAGACCACATGTATATACTACACTTACATGTACCTAGGTGAGCCCATATTTTCTCCCCCATTAGACTGTACTCTCTTTGAGAGCAGGGATTCATATTTTTGCCTTTCTTTATATTCCCAGCATCTTGGACTGTGCCTGGCAGTCAGTCAGTCAATAAACATTTATTAAACACCTACTATGTGTTAAGCACTATCACCTAGTAAGCACTTTTGTGAATTTTTATTGACTTTCTCTGTCTCCACAATCAAGTGTGCTGCCTGGCACATGGTAAGCACCTCACAAATCTCTGATGAGTTGAATTGAACTTTAAAACACTCTAAAACTAGGCCCAGAGTATGGAAGGGCTTTTAGAGATCTTCTTGTCCCATCTCTTCATTTTACAGATAGAGAAACTAAGTCAAAAAGGGGCGGGGGTGGAAGGAAGCTCCACCCAATATCACAGAGCTAGTAAATGGTGGATTTAGGACAGAACCGTGTTTCCTAACTCCAAGTCTGTTGCTCTTTTTCACCAAATAAATTAGGGTAAGGGAGTCATAGACTTCGCTGCAGATTACAGGAATCTTGGAAAAGGTCACTATCTTCTGTATCTTGCCTTCCAAGGTTTCTCATGCCTTTTTCACAGTTGTCGGCAATTTCACACTTCAAGATGATTGGCATGACTGGGAGCCAGTACAGAGAGGGGCAAAGTCAATGGGATGCTACTGATTCTCTTCAGCCTCCAAAGACTCAGTGGAAAGGTTATGTCCATGTGGAAGGCATTCTGCTTTCATCCTAGGGCACAGAGGGGGTAAACAAAATTCAATCTCCCTATCTCAGCTAGGATAAGGGATGGCCACTTTCCATTTAAAAGGAAATCTTCAGGTCTTCCAGCAGTCTTTTTGTGAATGAGCCAAGTGAAGTTTTAAGGCTTATTAACAACAAATTAAAATATACGGACAGCTCCTAAAGCATCTTCACATGGCTTCATTAAAACAACAAGTATACTTCCTCAAAGTAGAAACAATGATAGGAAGCAGCAACAAAGTGAAACTTTGGCAAATGGAAGCGATGGATGGAGACAGTAGCGACAGACAGATGAACAGATGGTGGAGTTTCATCAGATAATAACCATGGTGGCAGAATGAAGCAACACAGTGGAGAGATTCTATGCTTTTAGAGAACCAAACACAAAGCATAGACAGTCAGCCCCACAGGAGACCCTAGACCTCACCAAAGAGCTATAGGAACAAAGAAATAGCAACACACTGTTGACTGCCAGAAGATGGGGCCACAAGGACTCAGTTTATAAATCTGCCTTAGTCCAAAGCAGTTCCTTACATTAACTTCACATCTTGAATAGCTCATGGCTATTGGCTCCAATAGCTTTGAAGCTTCACAAGTAGTTTTGAAGAGTCACAGCTTCCAGCTTGTGTTTGGAATCTTGACCACAGCACCCTGTGGCAGAAAGAAGCAAGGTATGTGTTTCCAGGACTGAAACAAACCCACCAATGGACAATGAGCCTTTGTCTGGCCACAGATGACACTGAAGACTAGGCTCTCCCTCACCCCTGAGAAGGAGGTTTTCTGGGGAGCTGCTCAAAGAAAAGACTTGTGGATACTTGTATCCAATATAGCAAGCAGGTGCAAAACTGCTCTATTACAAGCTTTTCCCAGTTATTTACCTGCTCTTCTACTCCAGTTAAATACTGTGTATTTGATTTGGCAGGTAGGCAAAGCAGTGGATGGAGTCTTGGGCTTGAAGACTAGAAGACCTGAGCTCAGACAATGCCTTAGACACTTACCAGCTGTGGTACCCTAACCTCTCTCATCCTTGATGTCCTGTGAAGATGAGAGTGTCAGATTGATGGTCCCTAAGGGCCCTTTTAGCTGTAAATCCATGAGCCAACGATCCAGTGATTCAGGATTCCTCTCAGTGAGACCTAGCTGGGAGCCTGAGTGCGCCTTTATCACCTCTACACTGGACCAGCCGCTCCAAGGAATTCCAACACATATGTTGTATTCGTTTTGCTTAGTGTCAATTTATATTAGACGCCATTGCCCAGCTACACTGAAGCACTCGTCCTTTTCTGCTTTTCTCATCTCCCTCACAGTTAGCTAATTGCTAGATTCCATTTCCAAACACAGGCATACCTCGTTTTATTGTGCTTTGCTTTATTGTGCTTCCGATATTGAGGTTTGTTTTTTTTTCTTTAACAAATTGAAGGTTTGTGGCGACCCTGGGTCGAGCAAGTCCATTGGCGCCATTTTTCCAACAGCACGTACTCACATCATGTTTCTCTGTCACATTTTGGTGATTCTCAAAATGGTTCAAATTTTTTCATTATAATTATATCTGTCATAGTGGTCTGTGATCAGCGATCTTTAGTGTTACTATTGTAATTGTTTCTGATGCAGTGGATAGAGAGCTGGACCTGGAGCCAGAAAGACTCATCCTCCTAAGTTCAAATCCAGCCTCAGACACTTGCTAGTCTCTTAACCTTATTTGCCTCAGTTTCCTCATCTGTCAAATGAGCTGGAGAAGGAAATGGTCAACCACTCCAGTATCTCTGCCAAGAAAACCCCCAGTGGGGTCATGAAGAGTTGGACGTCACTGGAACATGACGCAACAATAGCAACAGTCATTCCACCAATCCACCATTCCCAGACTCTCCTTCTCCTCAAGTCTCCCTATTCCCTGAGACACAATGACATGGAAATCAGGCCAGTTAACAACCCTGCGATGGCCTCCAAGGGTTCAAGTGAAAGAAAAAGTGAAGAGATGTGGCAAATTTCATTGTTTTCGTATTTGAAGAAATGGCCACAGCCAGCCCAACCTTCAGCAACCATCACCGTGGTTGGTCAGCAGCCATTGCCACTCAGGAAGACCCTCCACCAGCAAAAAGATGACCACAAGCTGAAGGTTCAGATGATGGCCAGCATTTCTTAGCAATAAAGTATTTTTTAATTAAGACACATACAATATTTTGTGAGACATAATACTATTGCACAATTAATAGATGATAGTATAGTACAAACATAAATTTTATATGCACCAGAAATGAAACAATTTGTGCGACTTGCTTTATGGTAATATTCACTTTATCGTGGTGGTCTGGAACCAAACCCGTAATATCTCCAAGGGATGCCTGTACCTGTAAGTGCTCTTGGCAAAGTTAGCCTTGGCCACGTTCTCCCATTTGCTAGGTTGATTGTCAGTTTACAGTTGTACCTATAGCAGATGGAGATACCAAGCGGGAGCAGAGTTGATCTGCTTACTGCTGAGATGTCCACAATCAGGAGGCATCAGCATTCGCTGGACCAATCTGCGTCAGTCTCAGTGGTGAATGGCCTGTGTCTTCCATCCAGTGTGATAATCAATGTTCTGGACACAAGTTGGAAGCTGTGACCATTCAAAGCGACTTGACTGTTTGAGCCATGAGGACTAGAGTTGGGTAAGGAGTCTAAGTAACTGCTTTGGGCTAAGACAGATTCCTAAGGTCCCACCAAGCCCTTTGGGCTAACATTTTACATGCTATGGCTAAAGCTGGTAACTCTTGTTCCTATGTTTGCAACTAGAGGAAGAGGTCAATTAACCCTTTCTCACCAATGACCTCTGCCTCTTCTCTTTATTTTCTCTTCGTGTTTCATGACCTTATCGTATTTTTGTATAGAGCAGTTTTCTGTTTTGGCACCATTCCCAGTAGAATGTAAACTCCATGAGGGCAGGGACTATTCTTCATTTTTTGTAGGTGTTCACCACATGATAGCCCAGGGCTTTGAACTCTTAATATATGCTAATTGAATTGAATTGAATTAGACTCTTCCAGCTCCTTAAAGACAGGGACCATGTCTTATCTAAATTGTATTTCTTTCTCAAGGCCTAGCATAGTGAGTATTCCTTAATAAGGATTTGTTGCTGAAAGCAATTGGCAAGGTAGGTACAAAGGAGCCCTCGGAAACAGGCAGTGGAGAGTGAGGGCAGACTGAAATTAAGATTTGGTCCTGCAGTGTGTTAAGAGAAAATATTTGGCAGACAAAGGACTTAAAACTATTGTTTGACCGCATCGGGCCACCATGATTGCTTCTATTGAAAGCAACATGGTGTCATGGAAAGAGAATGTGGCCAGGAGCTGGAAGTAGCTGGGTGGTATAACACTGGGCAAGTTGCTTCCTTTTCTAGGCCTCAGTTTTCCCATTGCTTTAAGGCTGGCGAAGTGCTTGACATAACTGTTTTGTTTGGTTCTCACAGCCCTGCAAGATAAGTACTGCAACTCTTATCATCCCCATTTTACAGACGAGAAAACCGAGGTCAGAAGAAATTAAGCGACCTAGCTAGCCAGTGTCTGAGATGAAATTTGAACTCAGGTCTTCTTGACTCTGGGCCTAGGAGTCTAGTGGCTCTCCGGTGAAGAAGCTGGCTTCAATTATCTCTAAATTCCCTTCCAACTGTCAGTTCTAGGATTACCACTTCAGCGTTAATGAAAGCTATGTTAACTTGCTGGCTGATATGGGCTAAATCATTTTGTTTCTCTGGGCTCCATCGTCTCTGGAAACTCCTAGATCCATGCTTTCACAGAGGGCCATACAGGGGTCCCTAGACCACACCAAGGCACTACAAGGCTCGCTCTAGCAATGGGGACATTCCATTGCCTCATTGCATCTGGAAAATGTGAGCGTGTTTGGCATACGTTCCTTACTTAGTTCTACATCTGTATCTTGTTTCCCTGTTAGAATGTAAGCTTCCTGAGAGTAGCCTGCTTTCATTTTTTTTTATATCCCCAGCACTTAGCACTGTGCCCAATATATAACAACTACTTAATAAATACTAGTGGAGTGATCCAAGACTATTCCAAAAGCCTCTTGATGAAAAATGCTACCTGCCTCCAGAAACAAAACTGATAGAGTCTGAATACAGAGCGAAGCATGCTATTTTTCACTTTCTTTTTTTTGTCATTGTTGGAATTTTCTTCCACAAAATGACTAATATGAAAATATGTTTTACATGATTGCACATATATAACCTATATCAGACTACTTACTGTGTCAGGGAGGGGGACGGGGAGGGGAGGAAGAGAGGGAGAGAATTTGGAACTCAAGTTTTTTAAAATTGTTTTTATATGTTACTAGGGGAAAATAAAATATTATTTAAAAAATAAAAAATAAATAAATACTTGTTGATTGAGTGGTGTGGACAGAGGAGGAAAAGGGACGTGGGGAAGGAAGCAGGTATGAATGAAGCACCTACCGTGTGCCAGGCACTGTGCTAAGTGCTCTAGAGATATTATCTTGTTTTAGCGATGGGTGGTGTCAAACAGGATACAGCTCTCCCTTTCCCTCTTCTAGAGACAAAGATACAAAACAAAACATTTGAAAAACAAAAAAGGTCCGTGCCTGGAATTCTTGAGGCTGACAGAGTCACATTCTACTGCCTTCAAGATAAGTCAATTTCATGCTGACATGTCTTTCTTCAATGAGGACATTCTGCACAGCTGCATTTTTCTTTTATGAAGAGGGTGGGCTTGATCAGAAGTCACGGCAGTGGGATGGACAATGAGAAAGGCCAACTACAAGGCCTGTATCTCCTCCCCACAGGCGCAGTCCTAAGATGATAGCAGCCCTGGAATTTCAGAAGTAAATTATCCTTCAGGCCTCTGTCTCAAATGGGCATGTTTGTAATTTAATGTTTATGATTATAATGTAAAAATAATAAAAAGCAACCAAAACAGTCTATAGCAATTTTCTGATAAAGTAAATTTGCCCTCCCCCTTCCATTTGTGATTCAAACAGCCCAGAGTAAGGTTTCGTTTTGCTTTTTTAACTATGTGTTAATTAAAAATATGGAAATGGGTTTTGGAAACCACAGTCCAGCCCACAGTGGAAGGACGATCACCACAGATCTGTTTGCACAACCAGGCCCTTTTCCTGATGCATTTTAATAAAAATCTAAGTTGCTAATTGTTTTTGTACATGCTGTCCTCCAAAGAAAATTATGATTCCAGTGAAATCCATCATTATCCTTGCAACAGAGTAACTTCAGGCTTAGGCAATACTGGGTTATTTGGGTCAGCAAAGCACTGAGCCAGACCCCCTTTTGTGCCCTGTTTCTCCTCCTATTAAAGTTAAGGGCCCTTCTGCTTTTCACTAAATCAGATGTTTTGACAGAATCCATATTCAAAGGAGGCTGAGCTTACCATGTGTCATCTCCCTTGAGCAATGTGGAATAGGGAATCTGGTAGACAGAAGAATGGAATGCTTTGGTCTATCAGGATGCCTGCACCCCAACAATGACAAGATGAGTAAACTGAGTTTTGTTCCGGGGTGATGAAATTTAGGGATGCCACTCAGAGCACTTCTTGGCCTTTAGAAGCATAGAAACAACTACTTTAGTGTGCACACGCACATAGGCACACACACACACACGCGCACACACACACACACACACACACACACACACACACACACACACTGCTTTAGCAATTAATAACAGGTTAAAATAGGAAGCTGCTAAATGGTAGGTTCTTCTTCCAAAAGCCACATCCTTTGGAGAGTTCCCCCTTAACCCAATTCTTCATTGCTTCTCTTCCCTCTGGCACCCAATCCAACAGAATGGAGAGCAAATTCCACACCACTTAGGCCTAGATGGTCTGTGCTCCTGGCACAAAAGATGCTAGTTATGGCTCTGATATGGAAACGTTGCATTGAAGATTTCAGGTCACAAATCATAGGCTCATACATGAAGGAATGAAAGGGACGTAGAGGTCATCTATTCCAACCTCATTTGATAGGCAGGCAATTGAGTCCCAGAAAGGGGAGGTGGCACGCCAAAGGTTGTGTGTACGTGTGTGTGTGTATCTGTATGCATATATGTATAATATATATCTCCCCAGTTACTAACCCAGTCCCTGGCACATAACGGGGACTTAACAAATGCTTGTTGAATGAATGAGTAAATGGACCACACAAGATAAAGAGGAACATGGGAGGTAAAAGGGATAATTTTCATTGCATAAAGCTAAAAGGTTTTGCACAAACAAAACCAATGCAGCCAAAATTAGATAGAAAGCAAGTAACAAGGAGAAAATTATAGCAAATTTCTCTGATAAAGGCCTCATTTCTTAAATATATAGGCAACTTAGCTAAATTTATAAAAAATAAGAGCCATTCCCCAATTGATAAATGCTTAAAGGACATGAACAGTTTTCAAAAGAAGAAATCAAAGCTATCAAGTCATATGAAAAAACTGCACTACATCACTAATAACTAGAGAAACACAAATTAAACAACTCTCATCAGATTGGCTAAAATGACAGAAAAAGAAAATGACAAATCCTGGAAGGGATGTGGAAAAATAAAGACACAAATGCACTGTTGGCAGCTTGGGGCCACCACAGTGCACAGAGCGCCAGGCCTGGAGTCAGAAAGACTCATCTTCCTGAGTTCAAATCTACCCTCAGACACTGACTAGTTGGGTGACCCTAGGCAACTCACTTAACCCTGCTTGCCTCAGTTTCCTCATCTGGAAAACGAGCTGGAGAATGAAATGGCAAACCACTCCAGTATCTTTGCCAAGAAAATCCCAAATGGGGTCACAAACAGTCAGTCACGACTGAAAAATGACTAAACCACATTGGTAGAGTTGTCCATTTTGGTCAAACCATTCCGTAAAACAACTTGGAACTCTGCCCAAAGGTTATAAAACTGTGTGTTTCCTTTGACCCAGCAATACCGCTACTAGGTCCATATCACAAAGAGATCAAAGAAAAGGGAAAAGACTTGCATGTGCAAAAATATTTATAGCAGCTCTTTTTGTGGTAGCAAAGAATTGGTTTTTAAGGGGATGCTTGTAAATTGAGGAACAGTTGAATAAATTGTGGCAAATGATTATGCTATAAGAAACAATGAAGGGGATGGTTTCAGAAAAACCCAAGAAGATTTACATGAACCGATGCAAAGTGAAATGAGTGGAACCAGGAAAGCATTGTATGTAGTAACAGCAATATTGTAATGATGATCAGCTGTGAAAAACATAGCTACTCTGAGAATGATCCACAATGCTAAAGCACTCACAACGAAAACTAGTATCCACTTCCAGAGAGAGAGCTGATAAACTGAGCACAGATTGAAGTAGACTTTTTCATGTTCTTTATTTTTCTTGCTTTATTTTTGAAACATGACTAAAAGGAAATATGTTTTGCATGACTTTATATCTATAATTGATATCATAATGCTTACCTCCTCAATGGGTGGGAGAGTAACTGAAAGGTGAGAGAATTTGTAGCTCAAATTTTTAAAAAATGAATGTTAAAAATAATAATTTTTAAAAATAAATGAGTGAATGAATGAAATAATTGTAAGACCCGGGACTGAAATCTAGTGCCACTGGCTCCAAATGCAGCATTTTCTCCTCCCTTCCCCTCCTCCCCTTCCCTCCCCTCCCTTCCTCTCCCTCCCCTCCCCTTCCTCTCCCTTCCCTTCCCTTCCCTTCCCTTCCCTTCCCTTCCCTTCCTTTCCCTTCCCTTCCCTTCCTTTCCCTTCCCTTCCCTTCCCATTCCCATTCCCCTCCATCCTCTGCTCAGCTGATAGAGTGATTTTCCTAAAGCTCATATCAGAACATGTCACCACGCTCCCCTACTCGATGAGCTCTAGTGGCCCCCTATTACCTCCAGTATCAAATATAGAGTTTTCTGTTTGTTATTGAAAGCTCTTTATAAATTGACCCCTTGCTACTTTTCCTCCTTGCACCTTACTAGCCACCATGTACTGTACTATCCTGCTACAGTTCCCCTTGCAGTTCAACAAGCATGGTACTCCATTTCCCACCTCCAACTCTTTCTACTACACATGGTCTCTCACCTAAACCTCTCAGTTTACAAGGCTTCCTTTAAGGTTGAGTTCAAATAGCACTTTCTGTAGAAGACCTTTCCAGGTACTGTTAATGTCTTCTCTTCTGAGATTATATCCCATCTAGTCTGTATATATCTTATGGGCACATAATTACTTTCATGTTATCTCTGGCAATGAGCAGCAGGCAGGAAGTCAGGAGTCTGGTGTCTAGAAGCTCTGGCTGCCTCAGGAGACCCAGCTCCAGGGATTGTGGCTCAGGCCTAGGCTCCAGTCACTCAGGATCTGGGCAATGGGCAGGGGACCCATGCACAGATTTCGACATGGAAGAGTAAGACAGAGAGCCAAGCTTATCTTGCTCCAGCTCTATCATTTGTGATCTCTCCAAACCTCTCAGATTCCTCTTATGGGAATGAATCAAAATGATTTGCAACATCCGTTCTAACCCTAAATTCTAAACTGAGAGTGAGGATCAAAACAAGGTCCTCCATTCCAAGGAACAGAAGGACCAGTGGTGATGTTATCTCAATCCTGGTAACCTGCCCCATGGATCTAAGCGCCTTCTTTTCACCCTTTTCTCTATTCCAGCCAAGAATTGGATTGATCCCTAAGCCTGGCGTGGGACTCATGGAGACTCTGGGAGTCAGTGCAGAACTGGGAATATACTGTTGGAGCTGGAGTTAGAAAGACCTAGGTTCAAATCCCACTTCTGACACCCAGGATTGTGTGGCCAAGAACCAGTCACCCAAGCTCCTGAAGCTTCAGCTTCTTCCTTTGAAAATAACTCATATGAGACAAATAGAGTCCTCACTTACACTTAGCTCTAGAGGGAATATTTGTCTTCCAGGTTTGCTCTTGAAGTGCCCAAGGAAGCCTTTGTCCAGAGGTGCCAGAGCTAATGTCAAGAGACTCGGTTCAAAGCCTACTTAAGACACTGGAAGAGTCACTCAGCTACTCTAAGTTTTCTCATCCCTGTAGGAAATGTACTGCCCATGTCATGTGTACGTTCACATGGGTTTATCTAAATGGGGCTCGTGGGGAAGCTTTGATAGTTATCTCCTCCTCCCAGAGAGATTTTGATTTCCTGCATAAAGGAGAGTAGGAGAAGGGGCCATGAAGCTGGACACTGTTCTCCTCTGAAATGGGGTACCTGGCTAGAATTATACCTCGTGGCTCCCTTGAATATTGAATTAGAGGAGTGAGTTTTTCCTTAGCTGCTTTCCTTATCTCTTTCCTTAAAAAACCCAGGTTTACATCTGAAGGCTTGACCCCTTCCCGCCAAATGCAAAATACAAAAGATCATCACAAGTAGTTAATAATAAGTAAAAAAACAAAAACAAAAACAAAAAACATTTATCCAAGCAGGCAGCAAACAGAAACCAGAGAAGTTATACAGATTAGAGACACTAGAGTCCTTTAGCTGGGAGAAAGCTGAGATCTCACTCAACCAAGAGAAAGACTGTCCAGTCTCACCATGAAATCTCGGTAGGCAAGTTATAAATCTGAGAGATGTTGCTGCTTCCAATCTTTTCTCTCTCTCTTCCTCTCCCTGGAGCTGATCACGTTCTCTCTCAGAGGAGGAAGGAAAACAATTTCTCTCTTTTTCAGAACTCTGAGGCCACCTCTGTCCCTCAAACAGGAGCACAGAGTGACATCATCGTCATCCCCACCAATGAGGAGGATCTTATGCAAATGCTTCAGGCTTGAATCCAGGATTGCAGATGCCAAATGGCTGTAATAACCCTTGTACTACTGACCTCACAGGGTTAGCATGAAGAATGAAGTTTACAGACCTTAAGCCTACCTGGAAATTGGAATTGTCATTAAGAGTGAGATCTAGTCAAGGTGGCATGGTAGGGGGAGTGCCGGCCTTGGATTTAGGAAAACCTGAACTCTAATCTTACCTCGGATACTTTCTAGCAAGCTCTGTGGCCCTGAGCAAATCACTTAATGGCTCTCTGCCTCAGTTTCCTCATCCATAAAATAGGTAAATAATAGTACCTACCTCACAGTGTTGTTGTGAGGAGCAAATGAGATAATATGTAAATCATTCAGCAATTCAATAAGTAAATTCAATTCAATAAACATTTATTAAGCACCTACTATGTGTCAGGCACTGTGCTAAGTGCTAGGGATACAAAAAGAGGCAAAAGACAGTCCCTGTTCTCGAGGAGCTTACAAACTAAATGCTAGCTATTATCTCATCGTCATCATCTATACCAATCCATAATTACCAGGAGGCAGCCCCTGGTACAGTAGCTAGAGTAGGAGATTAGAAGCTAAAGGATCTGGGTGCCATTTACTGAGGGAATTGGACCAAAGTTCCACCAAGGTACCTCCCAGCTCTAAATCTATAATCTAGGAATTCCAGATCATTTTGTAAAGAGAAAAAATCCACTTTAATCCTCACAAGGAATTTTAGAGCTGGAAGACACCCTTGAAACCATATAGGCCAAACTCTTCCTTTGACAAATACAGCAACTGAGGCCTAAAGTGACTCCTGAGGTCACCAAGCTTGTTGATGACACAACCAGGACTGGAAATCCTCTCTCTTGGTCCCCAGTCCAATGTTCTTCCCATTATTAAAAAAAAATATATCCTTTCCCAAACATTGTATTTATTATTTAAATGTTTCTTCCAGTGTGCTTCTTTGCATTTTTGACTTTTAAAAACAAGAGGAACTTTGGACACAAGGGCATTGTAATTCATTGATGATTCATGCCAGTTTAACTCAGCCAATCTTAACCAATCAAACTCTTACTCCATGCAAAGCACAACACAAAAGTGTCTCTGCCTTCAAAGAGCTTACGTTGTCCTGGGGGGCACAACACAGGAACACACAAGAAAGGGACCTAAGTCACTGGGGAGCCCAACTAACATTCATTGCTCAGATGAGGAAGCTTAGAGCCAGGGAAGTAGAGTCACCTGCCTAAGACCAGAGCCACAATACGAACCCTGCTCCTCGACTTGAAATCCAGAGCTCTTTCCGCAATACCCAGTTGATGCACATGGAGAGATAAGTAGACACGAGATATGTGCAAGGCATTGGGAGCTGATTTCAAGAAAGAGCTTGAACTAACAACTTGGAGGCTCCTAAAAGGCTTCATAGAAGATGCAGCACCTTGACTGTGCTTGAATGAAGCTAGGGACTCTGGGATGCAGAGGAGAATGTGAAAGTGTGGAATTAGGAAGTACAATATTATATAATGGGTGTGCAAATTCCATTGCCAAGGAGAATATGTGACTATAAATAAGGTAAAATAAAATGAAAGCAGTAGACCTGTCTATACCCCTCTCTCCAAAATCTTTTACAATCTAGGGTGATGGTAGATTTTGGATAATGACCTGAAAGTCTTACTTATGGAAGCTTTCAAGGTGGCTCAACAACAGAGATGAACACCAACTCTGAATATTTATCAGTGGCTTTCTAAATATCTACTTAAACCATCACAAGCAAGTGAACCTTATTATGTTCACAATAGGTTCAAAGTTTACTAACTTGCCTTCAGCCAGCTGGGCTCCATCTTGCCAAATGGAGGCCCCTGTGAGCTTGGGAGGTCCCTGAAAGTAATGACATGTACAATGCGTGGGACGAGAAGGTGCTTGGCACCGTCCCTGGGGAGGAAGGGCTTGGCTGCTTCCTGTGGGAGCCATTGGGCCGAGCACAGATGAGGAAACTGGCAACAGTCGATGAAGGAGGCCCAGAACACTGCCCTGTCCATTCAGTAAGGAGTCCGAGCTAGACGCTGGCTGTACAAGCAGTTAGGGGATATTAAAAACGCACGGCACCGAGGGAAAATATTTATAGGCATGACAGCATGTTTCCTTGTAATAATTTATGGGCTAACTGCAGAAAAAAGAAACACAGAAATGATGAATAAAATAGCCAATACGTAAACACCATGGCTTCTACAAACTCTCTCTCCAGTTAAAAATCAGCATTGAGTAAATGGCTACGATTCAGTGGTCGATAATGTCCTTGATGCTAAAGGTTACTGACTGATTTATAATTTCCTGGGTTTTTTTTTAAAGAATCTATATTTGTCAGCACAATTTTTATGTTTCATTCCTTAAAATAGGCACTAGCAATTCAAAAGGACACACAATATTGCCTTGACTTCTCTGAAGATCTCCTAGCACATGAAAAATGTCCAGGCTCATCCCTAAAAGGTTTTTATGTGTAAACAGAACCAGCTTCTGAGTAGGCAGAGCCAGGATACTTTTCCTTTCCCCTTCTCTCTTTCTCTCCTTGTAAGTTAACCCCTCTCTGCCATGTAAACAGTGTAAGAAATGTACTCCAGATGCCACACTTTGAAGTCAGGCTAATGACATGTGTGGTTCACTGCTTTCCTGTATTACATACTGCAAAATTGAGTCGCCAAAAGGATTAGCAAGTCAGGAGAGGGGCAAAGATGGAAGGAAAGCCAAGACTTTCTCATCCCAAGCTCTTATGCTGAATGAACACGATTTTTCAGTCTTCTCTCCTAAGAGCTCTACCTTGAAACTCTTTTTCAGAGCTTAAAACTGCGCCCTCCCCCCCCATACAAATCCTATGCTTGTATACAGCCAGGATTAAGAAATAGTGAGGAAAGTATCACCAGTTGGTTCTCCTAAAGATCTCCATGTTCAACTTGTGTCAACAATGTAATATGGCAGCCATGAAAGCTATGGTGGGTGTGAGAATTGTGATCGAGTATTGGGAAGGCTGTCGCCTGAAGAACAAATGAGGCTTCATCTGTTTATCCTCAGAGGGTAGAATTGGGAAAAATGAGTGGAAGTTTCAATGAGACCAGTTTGGGCTTGATGTTAGGAACAAAGATCCTAGCCACTAGAATTATCCTAAAGAAGCATGGGCTACCTTGGGAGAATTTATCTCTCCCTTCCCCCTCACACAGGATGGAAGGGAGAGGAAGAGGGGAGTCTGCAAGCAAAGGTTATATGAGCATTTGTTACATATGTTGTAATGGGGATTCTTTTTCAGGCGTGGGTTGGATTAGATTGCCTCTGAGCTTCCTTCCAAGTCTGAGACTCTGTGATTCTATGAAAAAGAAGAAAATCAAACATTTTAAAAGTTTACTTGACAAACATCCAGGTACATATGTGGGTGCCATGGAATGAAGTAACCTGATGGTGTTGGAAATCAGAAATGTCACCAAGGAAATCTTTGTCAAACTAAACTAATATAACATACCAATAATTGACTTCCTAGCCCTTAAAAATAAACCCCATGGAACATTGACTCAAGGTTCAAATATTCATCAGTGTTCATTTAAATAGATTTGGGTTGCATTTCATACTGAGAGTTCTACGCTTAAAACCCTTTGAAATACTTTACATTTCATTCACTGGTCCACCATTGGAAGTGTAAGCTACTAATTAAATGGAATAGATCTTTCCAAAACAGCCAGTATTGTCTAATAAGTGAGTATTCTTTACCTGGTAACAACGAACAATGTTTTCCAGCTCTCAATTCAATTCAATCCAAAGAATTATAAATTAAGCACCACTATGTGCCCACTGCTATGCTAAACACTGGAAATAGGATGGGATATAGGCTGTGACTTCATTATTACTGAGTGAGGAAATTCCCTCTACCATTGCTGCATGTTATTTTCTTCGTGATTTATAGTCAGATTCTGAGAAGTTAAAAGATTTGCCACAGCTTGTATATGTCATCAGCAGGACTTGAACCCAGGTCTTCCAAATTCCAAGTTCAACCCTCTATACACCATGCCACATTGCCTCTCATAGGGTTCCAAAGACAAAAATAAAATAATCCCTGGCATCAAGGCTCTTACATCCATCCAATCAGAGGAGCTCACAGTAAAGACAACACCGCTTAGCCTCAGTTTCCTTAAGTTTGTTTTATTCTTTTTTTTTAAACATCAGTCATTTAGGAAGAATAATAAAAACTAAAACCCAAGTCTTTTACAAAGCTATAACTGGAGTGGGGTAGCAGCGGCTTTGACCAAAGACAACAAATTCAGGGGGTTCTAGGAATGATTTGGGATCATAGGAATAATGCCACTTAGCAAATAGTTAGCATGATTAATTAGCTAAAATAGGAAGCTACCAGATGAAAGACTGGAGCTGGCTCCTGCCCCAGCCTAGGTGATGTTCTCTTACCCTTTCCCTTAGAAATCACCCCCAAGAGGAGCCTCATGGTGTCCTGGCTGTTTTGCCTGCCCACTCCAGGGCGCTGTGCTGAGGTTATGCTTCCTGCCAGTTGCCCAGGGCATGGTAATTTCTAGCAATGGCTCTTGTGTTCTGACTCACAGCCTCCAGATGCTTGCCCCTCAGACAATTCATTTGGATTCTATATATCAATCAATCAATCAATCAATGATCATGTATTAGGTGCCTACTATGGGGCAGGACACTGACTAGCTGCTAGGAATACAAAGACCGAGGCAGAACTGGCCCTGACCTCAAGAAGCTTCCCTTCTAATGTGAGAGACAGCTTATACATATCTAGTCATGTAGATATTACATACAAAATGGATACACAGTGACCTGCAGAGGAAGGAGAAGGGTGATCTTTCTCCATGATTCACCATAGGAAGCTTCCTAATCTGAAGCCATCAAGATCTGCGCTCGCATTCATCCAAGCCTCCCTACGATGTGAAAGAG